GGCCATTGCTATGGGAACCTGGCTGCAGGCTCCCAGTTGGCAACTAGATTCCCCTCCCCAGTAGTGAACTTCTGTTTGTTCTGGAATAATGTTGTAACTTACAATGCTTTGCAAAAATTGTTCTGAGTTACAGCTGGGAGCTGCACTTCTGTCTGCACCCTTAGCGAATACATAGCTGATAGAAAGAGATGACAGTGTTGAGTCAGTGAAGGCAGCCCAGGGTACAAAAAGATCCCAGCCTCCAGGCCAGTTGGGAGTTTGACCTTGCAAGTTGCTAATGACCCTGCCACTAATCCAGCAGACTGCTTCACCATTTTTTAACATAATTAATTTCAGTACTTAATCAGCCAAATGTTTGGACATTTTTCCATTTTCTCCTTCCCCCATTCTTGTTCTTTCTCCCTCTCAATCAAACTGAATCCCTTTTTTATAATCCCCAATCCATTTTGCCATTCTTCTGACACCCAAAGGTGACTTCCCCAGCAGGCTCTTGATTTCTCATCTGTTTTCCTGCAACTGGTTCCCCTTTTTTCCATAAACCCTAACTTTTGCTGATATCCCACTAAAAAGGGATGCCTTTTTCACAGTCACTCTGCCACTCTGGCTAAACTCATCTCGTTAAATCTTGCATTCAGTTAGAGATTCCCCTAATCCTAGTCACCCCAGAATTCACTCCTCACTTTATCTACAGGAGAACCCAAGGCCATAACACTGAGAAAATTTAGGTGTGGGGCAGATTTGCAGAGATTTCCAGACCCCAGTGGAATTCAACAAAGCTGGAAGACCTGCTTGAGGGCAAAGGAGTAGGATGATCAAGAGGGAGAGTAACACATCCAAACATTTCAAAATCTAAACAAAAAAATCTTTATTCTTATTTCCCTGACTTATTCACACATCCCAAAATTGGTTTTCCCCAACTCCCCACAAACAGAATTATTAGTCATAGATTTATACATACATACATATATGCTTTTCTGTCTCAGTGCCAAATGATTATAATCAAGATCTGATCTAATTCATAGTCAGCTACATTTAAGTTACTAACTCTTCACTGATTCAAGCATACTACAGATGCCTCTGTGTCTGAAATGTAAAGGTGTAATATTTTGGAAAGATAAATTCCTTACAGTGTAGTGACAGTGGTGAGAAACAGTGACAAAACCTAGTTTCTTTGGATAAATGCCATTGTTGATTAATTGTAGTATATTTCAACTGTATACAGATTCCTAGCAGTTGCCCAACACAGTGGTTTCATTCTTTAGCGATTAACAATGTCTCTTGTGTGCTCAGGTTCTTTCCAGTTTAGCACACTGTTTCTTTTGAAGGATTTGCTTTCCTGAATTGAACTTCCAGAACTCAAAACACCTTATCACACTTTCACAAGCCTTGTTTCTGGAAAAAAAAAAAAAGCCTGTCAGGGCTTGTGTCAATTAAATCCAAGCTCGCAGGGGATTTGTTTTTCTTTTGGCGTCAGATTAGATGTTCAAATAGAGCAACGTTTTTGGGCTGTGGTTGAATGTCTATAGAACTCTTAATGAGGCTAATCCCACAGCAGCACATTCCAAGTAGCTAATGGGCGCAAGTTCATTGCTTACTTTAACATCCCTTGGGTCAGAACGAAGTGAATGATTTGTTTCCTGGGCAGTCATGAGCACGTTGTTAGCAGAATGACCAGCAGCAGTGAAATGTGGACAACACAATTTGCGGTGGGACTGCCTTAGACACCATCCCCGTCTGATGCTCAGGTAAAAATAAACAAAAAACCCTAACAAGACTCCAAAACAGCTTTTGTGTTTTTAACTCCGGGGATTTTAATATTTTAATCAGAGTGTAATATTGAGTCCAAAGGACCAAAGTAAGAACAAATTAAATGTGAGGGGAAAGTCAGAAAAATAACTTGTTAATTGAACAGAATGGACTTCAATGTTGTTCTGCTAATTAGCACCAAGGGAATGTTTCTGGTATAATGAAAAGCAAAGTTAAGCTATATCATTTACTACTTTATTAATTCATCTAGCATGTCACAAGTCATTATGTATCTGACATGCATAACTTTATTAAATATGTTACATTCCTCTAATCGGTTTGGTTCTGTTGTGAAGACTGTGTTGTAAGTAATTTTATTTCACTTTTGAGAAACGAGGAAACTATTGTTTTTCATTCCAAATTATCCATACTTCAATTAGTTTTTGGTTTCATATGGTACAATTAGATAATTTATTCACTGAATTGTGAAGAGATTCATTCATAATCATTTGGGATCATGACTGCAGCAAGCAGGAAATTGGACTTATAGTTACAGTTTATGGTGTATTTGAATATAAAATATGTATGTAGGCTCAAGTTCAAATAATTATATTTAAAATACCTGATCTTTTTATTTTGTCTCAGTCACAGTTAAGAAAAGGCAAAAGAACCTGCTACATACAATTTCCCCACTATTTCAGCATTTCTAAATGCATATATAGTTAATGGCCCACCTTCTTTACCTCC